CAGTGGTGTTGGGCTGGGGGCCGCCGTGTCCCCCCCGGTGATGCTGGGCTGGGGGCCGCCGTGTCCCCCACGGTGGTGTTAGGCTGGGGTGCTGGGACAAGGTCTGTGGCGTGTCCCTGGGGAGCACAAGTGATTGCTGTGGCATGTGCCCAGGGTGTGGGGCACGCTGTGGCATGTCTGTGGGGGCATGGGGCATAGCTGAGGCGGGGGGCTGCCAGGTTTGTGAGGGAACCTGTGCTGAGGGCAGGGTGCTAGGGTTCCACCAGCATGCCCGGAGTGGGTGTCCTGCTCCGAGGCGGGTGTGGGGGTCCCCAAGGGAGACCCATCAAAAAGTGTGCTTGTGTGTGTTTATACTTCAAAAACCAGCTTAGCGTTTTGAAAATGGTGGTTGCTCTGTGCAGGCTGTGGTGGTACTGGGCATTTGAAGCTCCCAGAAAATGGTAACCCTGAGCTCCCCATTCCTTGGGTAGCTGCAGGGTTAGGGTGCTGAAGGCAGGGGCGGCGCAGCTCCTCATGTGTGTGGGCTCCTCGCTGCTTTGTCCTCAGTGTTGGGCTTCTCCCTTGTTTGAAATGGCTTGAGACGCCAGAGCTGTTTGTAAAAGCCACATTTTGATGGCTGTTGCTGTTTTTTTCCTGCTTAAATATTCCCCTTGGGCCTCTCTTAACAGAAATCCCATTCTGTATTTGCAGGGGCTCGGTGCTGCTTGCTTGTCAGCAATGGCAAAGCCTCAGAGCAAGGATTCGGGACTGAAGGAGAAGTTCAGGAATCTCCTGGGGCTGGGAACATCCCGGGGAAGTTCAAAGTCATCGGAGGGCAAGCAAACAGAGTTTATCATCACTGCGGAAATACTCAAGGTATGAGAACTGACTGTAGTAAAGGTGGGGATAGTGCCTGGATTACCTGAGCTGAGAGGATCATCGGAAGGAGGGCTTGTTCATTCTCCTTTCTGTTTTGCCATTCGCTTCCTCTCCGATCGTGCCTTTTTACCTTATCTCTCAATTCACTCTCTAGTGAAATGGATGTAAAACTCGCCTACTTTGAAGTTACAGCATTTCAGTTATTGAGTGTTTGAATACATTTGAGATATTTGATAGGATGGTATTGTCTTCTGTCAGGTTACAGAAAGTATGTTGCTCTTTTTTTATAGCCCAGCTTGATGAAGTTTACGTGGTGGCAGCTAGCCTTACGGTTTTGTGAAAATGAAAAAAAAAAATCCAGTAATTGGTACAGCAAGTCTGTAAGCAGGATAGTTGGCACACAGGGAGGAAAACACATGAAAGGGAGAAGGAGACCAGAATCCCTTCCCCATCTGTGCCAGAGCAGCCAAGCTCTTACCTGCTGGAAGGCTGGGGAGCTGGACTTAATGTCCCTCCTTTCTCTGCCCTTCTCCTGTGAACTGAGTGAGCGCCACAGGCAGTGAGTTACCAACTTTTCTGAAGAAAATGAGATGTTCTGACTTGGACGTGAAAAGCTGCTTGGTTCCAGTCCTGTGAAAGTTCTAGTTTTGACAAATCATTTGCTAATGGAAAAAAGTTTTTTCAAAAATTCCTGAAGAGCTCCAGTGATGGTTAGATCACTTTGGTCAAATGTGTATTTTTCAGTGGTTCATGATCCCCTTTGAGAAATGGATAACTGATTTTGGTAAGGTAAACTGTTAGCTTATTTCTACCTTTCTTTCCAGGAACTGAGCATAGAATGTGGATTAAGTAATAGGATACGAGCAATCAGTCAAATTTGTGAAGTGGCGAAAACAAAAAAAATTGAAGAGGTAAGTTTCAAAGTGTTCTGTGAATATTGGAAGGATGCAAATTTAAGTGACAGCTCTTAACCTGTCGTAAGAGGCTCCTGTAGTTTGGACTGCCTTTGAAAATTGGTAATCCCAGAAGCTGTTTTGTGCTGTCCAAACGTGTAAAAGGGTGGCTCACATGCCAAGGAAATTAGTCCTGCCTGAGCTACCAGCTGTGGAGCAGAGAGGACATAGCTGATGGGCTTCCTGAACTGAGTGGAAGGAGAGTGCTGCAAATATGCAGGCCTGTTCAGGACGGTTCGCGGGAGAGGTGTTTGCTAGCTCCTTCTGTTTTGTTAATAAGCAACCTCATACTGGTTTTAAACTCATCTTGTACTTGGGTGAAGGGCTCTGCACAAATGTTCACACTGAAGTAAGTGTGTGAATGAAGAACTTCAGTTACCAGGGTGCAAGTTATTGCGTAGGACGGGATTTGGTGTGTCTCATGTGGTTCATGTGAGCTTGTAACTGGGCAGGTGAGGCTGTCCCTCAGAAAAGAGAGCTCCAGACATGAAATTCCTGGAGGTCTTGTACATTAACTTGCCATAATTACTGACCTACTGGGTAAAGATCCCAGAAGCTTAACTTCCTTACTACTGCCTGTCTCCTGTGTTTGTTTTCAGCATGCAGTGGAAGCAATATGGAAGGTGGTAGCGGATATGCTCCAGCCAGAGCGCCCCATCGAAGCCAGACATGCTGTTCTTCATTTGCTAAAGTCAATCGTTCAAGGACAGGTGAAACCAAACAAACGGTAGAAGAAACACTACACTTAAACTAGGGTTTGTGGAGAGATGAACGTGAAAAATGTTGGGTGGCTCTTCTCTACAACTTTCCATGTTTCTTATTTTGGTTGTGCCTAGTAAATGGGAAGAGGAAGCATTTAAATTTAAGTCTTTGTTTGACCTCATAGCCGAGCTTTTCATACAAGCCATAGAAAACTTTTCTGGTTTGGGGCAATGTTCTAGAAAAAGAGGAAATACTTTTGGTCAAATTCAGCATAGTACAGCAAAATTTATATGGTCTTTGCCCAGACGTATTAGTCCTAGTCTGCAGCTGGTTTTGATGTGTCAGCATGTCAAGTATGCAAGAAGTTCTCTATGAGATACTTTTCTAGCCTGGCCAAGTTAAGCATACTATGAATTCTTCGGATTTTGCAATGTGCTGTGCAAACGTAAGACTGTATCAGACCAAAGTCCTGGTTTTCAGTATTCTGAAACAGCAGGGGTAGATGCTTACAAAAAGAACAGGCATTGATTCTGCTTTGTTGTCTTGGGTTTTTTTTTTAAAATGTGCTGCTGGCAGGGCTGTCAGTTGCAGTTTCTGTGGATTACCTTGTGTGTTGGATGCTGTCTGGGTGTTGCTGGACACAATGCCTCCAGCCCTGAGCCAAAATAACAGAGTGAAAACACCTGAGCCATTGTCAGTGGCCAGTACAGGTTGAGAGGTGTTTTCAGGAGACTTTCATAGCCTGTAGAAAAAGAAAATAATTTCAAGGATGAAGATTACTGTTACAGACCTTGATAAAGTCCAGGCCTTAACTGTCTTTTTTCACTAGTGACACTGTTATTCCCCTCCCCTCCTCTTTTTTTTTTTTTAAGGGTGAGAGATTAGGGATCCTCAGAGCACATTTTTTTAAAGTTATTAAGGACTATCCCTCCAATGAAGACTTGCATGAACGACTTGAAGTGTTCAAGGCTCTAACAGAGAATGGACGATACATCACCTACTTAGAAGAAGAGTTAGGTGGGTATTGTCTCTGCCCCTCTTCAGTTTGGTGGGAATAAGTCAAGGGACAGGCATTTAGTGATATAAGAAGGCAGCGATAACACTTCTGGGTAGAAAGCATATTGTGACGGTTTGTTTTCATTCTTTAGCTGACTTTGTACTACAGTGGATGGATGTTGGTTTGTCTTCTGAGTTCCTTCTGGTTTTAGTGAACCTGGTGAAATTCAATAGCTGCTATCTGGAAGACTATGTTGCTGACATGGTCCAGTAAGTTGGATTTTTTTAACTCCTACATGCTTACTCTTGGTAAATTACAGTAGAAAGTTGCACATCAATGTACAGATAAGTGGAATCTTTTTCATCCTATCTGGATCTGTTTCATTCCAGGTCATACCCAACATTTCTGACATATATTAGATTTTCAGTTCTTACAATGTGCAGATTTGTTTTAGTTTAACTGCATGTGCTTTCCCCGTTTCATGTGATGGACCTGATTGCATTGCTTAGTCTCACAAAGGGTCTCTGCTGTTGTATGAGTGTAGGCATAGTGAGTTGCACCTAAATGCATCAAGCTGGGTGGGAGTGTGGATCTGCTAGAGGGGAGGAGGGCTCTGCAGCGGGACCTGGACAGGCTGGATCCATGGGCCGAGGCCAACTGTATGAGATTCAACAAGGCCAAGTGCCGTGTTGCACTTGGTCACAATAACCCCACGCAACGCTACAGGCATGGGGAAGAGTGGCTGGAAAGCTGCCCAGCAGAAAAGGACCTGGGGGTACTGGTTGACAGGCGGCTGAATATGAGCCAGCAGTGTGCCCAGGTGGCCAAGAAGGCCAATGGCATCCTGGCTTGTATCAGGACTGGTGTGGCCAGCAGGAACAGGGAAGTGATCATGCCCCTGTACTCTGCACTGGTGAGGCTGCACCTCGAATACTGTGTTCAGTTTTGGGCCCCTCACTACAAGAAAAACATTGCGTTGCTGGAGCATGTCCAGAGGAGAGCAACAAAGCTGGTGAGGGGTCTGGAGCAGAAGTCTTACGAGGAGCGGCTGGGGTCTCTTCTCCCTGGTAACGGGTGATAGGACAAGGGGAAATGGCCTCAAGTTGTGCCAGGGCAGGTTTAGATTGGACATTGGGAAAAATTTTTTTCCCGCAAGGGCTGTCAAGCCCTGGAACGGGTTGCCCAGGGCAGGGGTTGAGTCCCCACCCCTGGGGGTATTTAAAAGCCGGGCAGCCGAGGTGCTTAGGGCCAGGATTTAGTGGTGGGATGGAGGGGTTAAGGGAACGGTTGGACTTGATGATCTTAAAGGGCTTTTCCAACCTAAATGATTCTATGATTTTATGATTCTAAGTGCAACTTTAACTTTATAAAAGAGGTTGTAGTGTTCGGTGTCTCTAGGAGTGTTATCAACAATGCCACAGTAAGGGGAATGATGAGTAAAATAACATGCCAGTTTACTTGTCTGTTTTGGCTCTTTGTAATTTGCCTAAAATCATATTAAGCAAACATTTATAATTAAATGTTCTTTCCTAACAGCAAGATATGCCTCTTGTGCATTCAGACTTCGTCATCTGTGGACATAGAGGTCAGTAATTTGGTTCTCTCTTAGTACTTCAGAGTTCTTTGAAATTCTTTGAAACTGTAACTTCTACAAAGTGGAATCATCAGACTCTCAGTTTATTCTCATGTTACAAGAGAGCTAATACAATGTTATGAAGTATTTGTAAGCCATTGGATTTCGTACACCAATAACCATTTTATTCTAAAACAAACAGAGCATTGATAAATTTGATAAATGAATGAATTTTTCATCAGTGCTTTTTAACGGTTTACTTTTCATCTTGCAATTATTTAAAAAAAAAAAAAAAAGGCATATCTGTATCCCTTTTGACTTCCTGAAGATTTCCTGGTCTGCCAGGTTAGGATTTGACCTGCCTGATTCCTAGAGAAGTGTATAACCATTTTATCTTTCCCAAAGATTTCCTTGCAAGTCCTGGATGCAGTTGTTTGCTATAACTGTCTGCCATCAGAGAACCTGCCAGTATTTATCATCACTCTGTGCCGTACCATCAACGTGAAGGAGCTCTGCGAGCCATGCTGGAAGGTCAGAACCTTCTCGTAGTTTTTTTTTTTTTTAATGAGTTTACTCTTTTGGCCTCAAAGATGAATTGTCAGATGTGCCTGTTCCCATTTGCCGTAAATTTCAGTTTGCTTTTCAGAGGAAATTAATAATTTTTTCAAGTGTTAAGGGATCAGCACATTGTTAGTGTAAGTCCTGTCATGTCCCTGGAATTTACCCATAGTTTCCTCTCTGCAGATGTGACAGGCTGCCTTTTCTCTAGTGGCATGGAAATGGCCAGACACATTTACTTACCATAAGTGGGCGTGATCGACCAGCTAACTCCATATTTAGGCTAATGAGTGTTTTAACAATTGGGTATTTAAGTGTTCTCATTGAATTTGCAGCTTATGCGCAACCTTTTGGGAACTCATTTGGGACACAGTGCCATCTACAACATGTGCAGGATCATGGAAGACAGGTAAAGAAGGTGTATCTAACAAACCCCATGGAATTTAGTAGAGGTCCTGTTGAGATAGATAGGGGGTCACTGACCTCAGTAGAACAAGCTGGAGGTTCTGGTGCTTAGAAATTCATTTCCTTCCTTGTTACGCTGCTGAAGTACTCACTTTTTGGCTTTTCTGAATTTAATTTTCCTTTGTTTAAACTTGTACTAAATTATTTTCTGCTTTTAATGTTTGTGAATTGCTGCGCAAGGCTCTGGTGTGTAACAGCTGGGAATTTCTCTTGTGACAGTGTATATTCCTATTGACTCTTGTATGCTAAAATAATTGTAACGTGGTCTAAGACTTTCCTTCCATTTATTCTTAGAGCTTACATGGCGGATGCAGCGCTGCTGAGAGGAGCTGTATTCTTTGTTGGGATGGCTCTGTGGGGTGCTCATCGCCTCAGTTCTCTCAAGAATTCCCCAACTTCAGTGCTGCCTTCGTTCCTCAAGGTAGGAAGGGATGCTGGAGGAACTTTTTAATCAGGTATCCGTCTGGACCTGTACAAATTTAGAACAAAAATGTGGTCCCCTAGACCAGAAAGATCTTTGTATGCCTGAAAGATGAGAGGCAGCAGTTGGGTATGGGGTGAAGTGTGGGGAAACAGTAAAACAACAGAGGATTTAAGTCTGAAACTGAGGCCTCCTTCTGGAATATCTTTGTTGGCCAGAAAACCAAGTCTGAATTCTTTTTATCAAATATCTACATTACAAGTACTTTAGCTTAAAAAATAAAAACACAGCAAAAACTTTCACTCCTTTCAATGTATGGTACAAAAAATGAGGGGCAGCATCTTGAGGGACAGCCTCAGAGCTCTCTTAAAATCTTCTCATCCAGGTGCATCAAGCAGGAATTACTAGCTCTAACCTCATGTGTCTGCTCTGTAAGATGGGACTGTATTTGACACCTGACCTACAGCTGTTTGCAGAGTCTATAACTGCACTTTATAAAATGGTTCTTTACTTTGCGCTTTGTGTGTGTAGACTTGAGTATACTGATCTCAGACCTTCAGGCTGAGTTCCTAATTAGTAAGGTGTGTATCATTTGAATTTAAGAGGGTTTCTGATCACCGCTTTCCAACTGTTAACTGACTGAAATGCTTTGTGTTCCAGGCCATGACATGTCCCAATGCAGTTGTATCTTATGAGATAGTTCTGTCCATAACACGTCTAATAAAGAAGTATGGGAAGGAGCTGCAAGCTGTAACATGGGATATCCTTTTGGACATCATGGAGCGATTGCTGCAACAGCTGCAGGTAAGTGTTGAGCCTGTCTTGATGTGCTTCCAATCAAAAGACCTTGCCATAAACATGTTCGCAAATTGATCTCCTGTTTGTACACTCTACTGAACTTTGAAGCTGAACGAAAGTTTGGCCAAATTCTCAGTGCTGTGCTTCTCAACTGAGTTTTCTGTTTGCATTTAGACTTTCTGGTAAGGTAGAAGTCTTTTATAGGAATGTTTTGTCTCCATTTCAGAGTCTGGAGAGCCAAGAACTTAAGTCCATTGTACATGATCTTTTGACTACAGTAGAAGAACTCTGTGACCAGAATGAATTCCATGGCTCTGAAGAGAGATTTTTTGAGCTGGTGGAAAGATGTGCTGATCAGAGACCAGTAAGACTTTACTTATTACTGTCTCCCTTTGTTGCCATTTGAATCCATTTTGTTACTCAGTACAGTGTAAAGTTGGGAGTCCTAAAATAGCAAGTGGTCAGAAAATCACAGCAAGGACTTAGTTGATCCTTATTCTGGGATGGGGGTTGCAGGGATGGATATATTGTATTTGCTTATATACTAAAAAAAAAATAATTCTTGATCTTTCCATGAAAGGAATCTTCTGTATTAAACTTGATAACATACAGAGCTCAGTCCATTCATCCTGCCAAAGATGGCTGGATTCACAATCTGCAGACGTTAATGGAGAGATTCTTCAGGTATGAAATCATAACTCTGTGAATACAAGGCACTTTCAAATGCTTCTTGCCACATTTTCATGTTAGATAATTTTATCTTTTGAAGTTCTAAGGTTAGTAAATGACTGCTAAGAAGAATGGTAGTTCCAGGGCACAGTACATGACAGGATTTTGTTTAACGGAAGGAAAACTTTCCATTGAGTTATTTATGCTGGGTTTTTTTTCTTTATTTCCATTGGATGATGCTGTTCCAATTAGCTTAGACAGTTATGTGTTCAACCTCACAGCACTTTGTAGTGCTGACACCAAAAAAGGCTGTTTGGTCAAGCATCAGGATTCCATATGGTTATCCGGTATTAAAGTTATCTGGTTTTGAATTGGTACTCCTAAAAGTATTCTTGTGCTCTGAAATATCAACATACAGCAGTAACGAACTTCTGTCTCATCTGTGAAATGCTGCCAAAGAGCAGCTCCTCCTTGGTGCCATATGTTTGGTTTTAAATTTGCTCACCAGAGCATTTGTTCTTCTGACATGTGCTTCCTAGTTTGGATTGGAAATGGGAAAGCTACAGTTACAGGTCTCCAGAAGTAGTAAAAGCTGAATGGGGATTCCAGTTTCCAATTGTTCTTGAATCTGATTTTGTATGCAGAGACATTAACTGAAGGCTTAGCTGATCTCTAATAGTTATTGTTGTAACTCTTTAAGAAGTTTCTTAGTTTACTTTAGTTTTACTTTCTTTTTCTCCTCTCCCCCCTTCCCTAAATATCAGCAACTTTATTTTATTCATCTTGAATTTGCTCTTCCCATTTTAGGAACGAAAGCCGTAGTGCTGTTCGTATTAAAGTTCTGGATGTCTTGTCCTTTGTCCTGAGTATTAACAGACAGTTCTATGAGGTGCGTGTTTATCTATTTCTGGTGTTCACCTGTGGGATCTTAAGTGGGTTGGAAAGGCTTTGGTGAGGCATATTTTATGGTGTGCTTCAGGTTGTCTCTGCCACTGGGGAATGCACAGAACTGTGCTTTAAATGTTGCACACAATAGATGTGTTTCTTTAGGATGCTTGTAGGGGGACTTGCCTTTTAATTGTCCTTAGTTGGATACAGGTATGTGCAACTTGCAGTGGGAGCTGCTGCGTTTTGAGGACATACCTGATGGGGTATTTGCTTCCCTCTTTTGAAGGTCATTAATTCCATATGCATTTTGTTTTGGAAGAAAGAAAAGTCAATGTGAGATGCAGAGTTTATTTAAAAGCTTTGTAAAAAGATGAGATCTGGCCATCATCTGGAGTGAGAAGATTGGCTTGTCTTGGTGCTTGCAGTTTAATTGCAATCCAAGATGGAAGCTGTCTGAGAGAGGAGTTACAGAAGAGCTCTGGGGGTGTCTTCAGCTCCTTGGAATGTACCCAAAGTGTCAGAGGACAGGAAGGGGCAGAGGTGCTTCTTAGATTCCTTCAAGATTTGTGGAAACAGGATGCTGTTGCACATTTCCTCTCTCAAAAAAACCAAGCCCTAAAAATCCCTTGTCAACAATCTGTTTGAGCCTGGACTATCAAGTCAGTAGGATAGGTGAAAACCAAAGCATTGAATCCAAGTTCAACAGAAGTCATAAATATTTGGAGGGATGGCATACAGAAATACTTAATTGGATGGAAGAGGAAAGATCAAGGAACCAAATAGTTAGTTAAGGAACAAGCCTGATATCAGAACATTAGTGTTCTTTTGTTTGTAATTATTTCTCTTTAACCTGCTGATTGAACAACTGGCAGCAAAAGGTCAGGTCTTATTAAGGTCTGTCCCCTTGCAGGAAGAGCTGATAAACTTGGTTGTGATCTCTCAGCTGGCTCACATCCCAGAGGATAAAGACCATCAAGTCCGAAAACTGGCCACTCAGCTACTCGTAGACCTGGCTGAAGGCTGCAACACGCATCACTTTAACAGCTTGCTTGATATCATAGAAAAGGTGAGGCAGAGTTAGCTGAGGAGGCTAACCCATGGCTGTTATCACTTGCGTGGTTCAGTAGGCTCTTGTAAAATTGCTGGGGTTTGGAGGGTGCAAGCCTGAAGTGCAGAGCAGAAGGGAGCTTTAGAAACCTTATCAATGGACATCTGAGCTACCCGACAGGGCTTGCAGAATTTCCTGCAAGGATGACTTGCTGTTGACCTTCCAGGATGGAAATAAAGAAAATGTCTGTTGCAGATTTAAGCCATGTATTGCTTTTCTTTTTAAAAGGTGGCTGCACATTCTCTCTCATCTCCTTCTGAACTGGAGGAGAGGGACTTGCTATCGTATTCAGCTTCTTTGGAAGATGTCAAGACAGCAGTTCTTGGACTCCTGATAATTCTTCAGGTAAATGCTGCAGAGCATTAAACGTGTCGTCTTCAGACTAGTCTTCTGCTGGACTTTGCTTTTTAGATAACTGTTCTCATGCTATTAAATACTCCAATTTTTGTCCACCTAATATTTTAACTCTTGTTTTGGTCACTCCTTTTGCTTTTGGGTACTGTATGACTGTTTGCTAAATGTTTTATTTTCTTAATTTCTGTTGTACAGTGAATATGAGCACATTTTCGTGTGTGGAGGGCAGATGTGTCATAAACTAGCAGAAGGGGAGTGGTTCATAACCTTGAATAGATCCATTGTGTTTGGGCAGAGTGTCCTGAGATATGGTTAAGCAGTTGCTGAGAGCTGGTTGTTCCAACCACTGCCCTTCTGGAGCCAAGCAGAGTTGCTCTGGAGCCTTTGCAGAGGTTCTGTCCACAGCCATCTGTTCCTCTTGCTTTCAGGAGAAAGTTTTTACTGTGTTTTTCTTGAAAACAGATCTTGAAATCAGTGCAGATACACATTTCTGAAGAACAAGCATCAGCCTGCCTTTTGATTTGTGTTTCTGTTCCTCTGTAGACTAAACTCTACAGCCTACCCTCCAGCCATGCAATGCGGGTGTATGAGATGCTGATTCAGCACGTCCAGCGCCATTATATATATGCATACAGCCTTGCTGTTGCTAGCAGCATCAGATTGCAGGTATGAGCAGTAACTGATGCTTTCAGGTTGAGAGTTGCATGCTGTCTTTGGGATTCTTGGGTGGCGGGCGCAGAATGTATGCTCTAGAGCTTGCCAGAGTAGAGTTAAATGTTTCTTGGCTAATAGGAGTATGTATATGTAGTGTAACACCAGAACGGATGCCTCCTGCAGAACTAGCCACAGCATCTATTAAAAATCCCTTTATACTTGGAAAAGTGTCACATGGGGTGGGAGAGTATTTCACTAGCTTGGATTTTGAGTGATTCTAGTATCTTCTCTATTACAGGTATTTGATTTGCTGCTGATGCTTCGAGCTGACTCCCTCCACCGTCTTGGCCTTTCCAACAAGGATGGAGCAGTGAGGTTCAGCCCTTACTGTCTATGTGATTTTGTGTAAGTTTCTTATTGCATTAAGCCAAAGCTGTTTTCCAAACTATTTGGTATTTTTGCATGAGCTTAATGGTCCATCAGTAGTGATCAGCAGTTTTTCTAAATCTTCCAAATCATGATCAATCAGCTGCTAGAAAAGTCTATAGTTACAGCCTAGGATTGTGTCAACTAATAACTCATTGGTGAATTGTTCTTACAAATCATAGAATAGTTTAGGTTGGAAAAGCCCTTTAAGACCATCAAGCCCAACCGTTCCCCTAATCCTGCCATGCTACCACTAAACCCTGGCCCTAAGCACCTCAGCTGCCCGGCTTTTAAATCCCCCCAGGGATGGGGACTCGACCCCTGCCCTGGGCAGCCCCTTCCAGTGCTTGACAACCCTTTTGGGGAAGGAATTTTTCCTGATGTCCAACCTAAACCTGCCCTGGCACAACTTGAGGCCGTTTCCCCTCATCCGATCGCCCATTCCCTGGGAGCAGAGCCCGATTTCCCACCCGGCTCCCCCCTCCTGTCAGGCAGTTGTACAAGGCGATAAGGTCTCCCCTCAGCCTCCTGTTCTCCAGGCTGAACACCCCCAGCTCCCCTAGCCGTTCCCCATCAGCCTTGGGCTCCAGACCCCTCACCAGCTTTGTTGCTCTCCTCTGCTCTCTTACCTACAGAGCTCTCAATCTCAGACATGAAGTTTCTGTTCCTGCTTACAAAACTTAACAAAAATATTGTCAATTTCCTGTCTGAAACCATTTGATTCAATGATTTGTACGAATTTGGGTATTTTTAATTTTATAGCTTGGTCTGAAGTTCTTTGTATAACTTGCCTCAAAAGATATCTTTCTAAATTTGCTAGGAGCCAGCATAGAAAAATCCTTAACCTGACCAAACCGACTCATTGCTGTTCATCTACTGGGCAATCCTGTGGGTTTTTAGTTGAAAATGCAATTTATATTGTTGGTTGGTCATTAAACTGGCTACCAAATAGGGTAGCGCTGTAGGTCACACGAATAGGTGTTGCTGATCTTGATTTTACATTGCGTGTATTTTTCTCCCTTTCCATGTTGTAGAGAAGCAGAGAAGAGGGCTGCTGAGAAAAAGCCTACTGGTACGCTCTCTCCACCTTCAGGAAGTCCCAGTGTGCCTTCCCAGAATGCCACCATTCGTATAGGGCATCTGCCGTATTCGATGGTGTTTGGCGTCCTTCTGCAGTGTTTGAAGCAAGTACGCCCGCTCCTAATGACAGTTGTCATCTTCATGTGAAATATGTCAACTTAAACCAGCTGGCCAGAGAATTCTATCCCGGAGTACCTAAATAATGTCTGAAAAGAAATATGTAAATGCTCCTTCTTGGGCAGAATTTGTGTGTAATTGTGCAGCTTTACAACCACCAGTGGGAGCACAGGTTCAGCTCTTCAGAAACTAAGCAAAGCTTTAATTTCGCTCTGCTTCAGGGCAGACAAGGACAAAAAATGTATTTGTTAAACTAAGATCAAATAAGTCATCGTGTTTCTGAAAGCGCATTTGAAACTAAAAGAAACCCTCCTACTGCAAGTTTTTGAAGTATTTTGAGAATTGATAAATGTTTCAGTCACTAATAAACTGTAAATATAAATTGCTCATTAGCATTGCATTGGACATATGTGCTGAGGGGTTGTCTTGCTCTGGAAGTTAATTTGTGCTAGTGGTTGGGAGGCTTGAATTCTGGCTCCGTCTTTTTCAGCTCAGTCAGATCTGGATACGAGTTGTCTTCCAGTTTGCGGTCACTCATGACAGCTAAATGCCTCTTCTTTTTATGTAGCTACCATGACAAGACATACATCTGCCTAGGAAATGGCATATAGTCTGAAATTTGATTGGTCTTACTTTTAAACTGAACTGAAATTGTACAAAAATTTTCCACCCAATTTTTTTCTTTCTTTCCAGGAGACAGACTGGAAGGTGTTGAAGTTGGTCCTCAACAAATTACCTGAATCCCTCCGCTATAAAGTGCTATTTTTAACCTCTCCTTGTAACATAGACCTCCTGGCCTCTGCACTGAGCTACATGGTAATGCCATGCACCCTACTGATGTATAATCACCAGGTCCTTAGTTTGCTTGAGAGCTAGTTGGTTGTGTTTTTTCAGAGGGGCTTTTTTTTTTTTCAGTCTAATATTTTGAAGGTTAGCATGCTGCTTCTCAATCCTTACCTTCCCTTTTTGTGACACTTTGTGTCATGTGTCATTTATCAGCTCACAGACAAAAAGACTACTGACAGGCTCCATGGTACCCCAGAAGGCTTTTCCCGCACTGATTTGCACCTGGCTGTAGTTCCAGTACTGACGGCGTTAATATCTTACCATAATTATCTGGACAAAGCTAAACAGGTATGGGGAAAGTAAGAGGGTATAGGGGGGATGGGGCCTGAGCCTGTATAGTGGAGCATTTTCTCATACTAGCAGATTAGCAGACTTAAGTGCAAGGTAATGCTGCCCTTTTCTGTTACAAAAAGCTGCATCTGCTGTAGCTGGGGTGGGGTCAAGGGTGAAAAAATACTTTGCTAACTTTGTGCAGCAGTAACTATCCGGTCAGTTGGATTCGGTGTTCTCCATCCGTCCATGTTGCACCTTGGGAGGTTGCTGAGTGACTTTACCCTCTGCTGGAAGACCCTGATAAACATAAAAATTCTGTTCAATCAGAAACTTAAATATTGATTTCTAAAATGTCTACTTGATTAAAGTCCAATCTGAAGATTTTGGCCTAGAATAAATGCAACATTATTCTGTGTTAGTGCATTTTGGAAAAGAATTCCTGTGCATCATACAGGCCTTGCAGTAGCGATACCATGCAAGCCCTTCTGAAATGCTAACTGAAGTCAGGAGATGGTACCTCCGAGGTTTTCTCTTTCCTTATATTATGACTTTTTTTTTTTTTTTTCTTTTTTACTCTTCTAGCGTGAAATAGTGTATTGCCTGGAACACGGTCTTATTTATCGCTGTGCGAACCAGTGCGTTGTGGCACTCTCTGTCTGTAGTGTCGAGATGCCCGACATCATCATAAAGGCACTTCCTGTCTTAATAGTCAAATTAACCCACATTTCTGCTACAGCCAATATGGCAATCCCTCTCTTAGAATTTCTCTCAAGTAAGTTGTAAAGTTCTTCTACTTTTGTTCTTCTATAGTTGTGAATATTGTTTGCACTGAATATGATTTTGTTACTCAAATGGAATGCGTTGTAACAGGGTTTTGGTTTGTACCATCTCAGGATAGAAACGTTTGATCATCTCTTGTTTGTTACTGGTTTTCTATGTAAAGCTCTTGCACACAGTGAAGAAACAGACGTGCTTTGTGTAGTGCAGCCCTACAGTGACAGGAAACACAAAGCTGCTTTCTCCACCTTGCTGCTTATAACTTAAATAGCATGAAACTACACCATGACATTAACTTCCATGTCACCTGATGATTTAGAAGAAGCAAAACAATTGAAATGCAACTGAATTGTGATATTGAAGAGTTTTTGTTCAGACCTCACCTGTGTTTGGTTTTCTTCTTGAACTGTTCTAGCTCTAGCAAGGCTGCCTCACCTCTACAGGAACTTCGCGGCAGAGCAGTATGCCAGTGTCTTTGCCATCTCCCTACCGTACACAAACCCTTCCAAGTAAGTTCATAGCAGATGTGCTGCTTCATCTGTAAAACAAAGAGAATGAGACATGCTTTTTTGTCATACTTAGGTCAGAGTTATTTATGGGATATTGCTCATTCTGGTATCACCAGGCTTTTTCTAAAGAATGGACTTACTCATCTTGGACAAAATATCTGTTTTTCTTGACCAGAACTTTTGAGGTTTTCCTTATACTTAGAGTAGGTAAAGGAACAGTTCTGTTTCTCAGATTGAAAAGTCCTTCTGTTCAGTTCTGGAATGGCATCATAATGCAGCACTAAACTCTGTAGAGATCTTTCTGCTGTTTTAGGTTTAACCAGTACATCGTTTGCCTGGCTCATCACGTGATAGCTATGTGGTTCATTCGGTGTCGCCTTCCCTTCCGAAAGGACTTTGTCCCCTATATTACAAAGGTAATGGACACTACTGAATCAAACAGTATGTAGTAAAAATGACAGCTTAAAAACTGTTTTGAGACGTTTGAAGGCTCTGTTTGAAGCTAGACACGTTCTCTTTTTCTTGTCAGTGTCTTTCTCAAAACTGACTGTGAGATTGCAGTCTTTCAGCTGCACGTCCTAGCCATTGGAACTGTTACCTATTTGTCTCAATTGGCAGGGTTTGCGCTCGAATGTCCTCCTTTCCTTTGATGACACGCCTGAGAAGGACAGCTTCAGGGCTCGCAGTACAAGCCTGAACGAGAGGCCAAAAAGGTAAATTGTATTTGAATCCAGCAGGGTTTTTGTGTTCCCTGTTGTAGCACTCACGCCCTTCCCTGTGTTTTTCTGAAGGAGGCTGGGTCTAGTTATCCAAAATCTGACAGTGCATTTAAGCAAGCAAAGTAAACCTCTTTAGGTCAGGGGATGGATAAAAGACAAACTTAGGGTGATAAGAAGCTGGAATCAAACCAAGCTGACAGTCTCATAGTACATACGAGGGCATCACTGGCTGTTCTGTAAGCCTTTGCAGTAAGGTGTGGGGCTTTTTGTTGTTAATTTTTGAAAATCAGCAGTTCCTTCATGTTGATGTGTGTCAGTGCAACGCTATCAGAAGTAATAGAAGAAGGGTAATACCAGAAGTAATAGAATACCGTGTTCATTTTGGTAGTGTTAGCTCCTTTTGATAATTGATCTGTAACAACTATTTAAATGATTGCCAGAGAAATTGTTGTGATTAGCAACCTGTATAAATTGAGAGTACCAGTGCTGTGTTTTTCCATGGTGTTATCTGTCAAGTCAGTGTAGACTGGGTGGCAGAGAGCTGCCTTCTGTGTATCTGGATGGCCTGATCCTTTTTTTTTTGAATTTTGAAGCCATTATGTCAGTTTTAAGCAAAGCCTCATGTCTTTAGAAGTCAGAACGTATCTTGCCCACAGTCTATGAAAATAACGTTTGCTGGCATAGGAGAATATTACCTAAATTGGTTCACTTAACTTGCTTCAGTGTTAATGTGCAGTAAGGATACAGTGGCATTTGAACCCTGGGGAAAGTGCCTCTACTTTAACTGCAAGGCTCAGCGAGTATCTTGCAATGAAGAAACACCATCCCTGCCCTAATGCTATAGCTGTAAACCTTGTTTTGTGTTTCATCTCTCCCATCTCCTCCTCCTTCATTCAGAAACTTAGAAGAGAAGCCTTTTGACACTCGTCTCTCAAATTAGAATTTCAACTAATCTTTTTTTCCAAAAACCTGTTAAATTCTCCCAGGTTGGAATACTACTGTATCTAAAGGCTTTTGCTAATGCTTCTGGATCACTTTCCACAGAAATTTCTGCTAAGGAGTGTGGGCTGTAGTCAGGCAGCAACCCGAAACACCAGAATGGCAGGATGCTGCTGCCTCTGAGTGAGTCTGACCTTGGATTCTGGCTAAAGGAGAGCGGAAATAGCTTCAAGCGGATATCTGTTTCCTTGCTTGAAAAGCTTGTGTCCTTGGTTTTCACTCCTTAAGCCCGAAGAATAAGCATTGCTGTGCCCTAGCTGAGGTGCTTGGTGTTGTGAGAGATCAAGATCCCGATCGTTCCCAAGGTTGCTGAATGGCATGATGTTGGTGTAGGTGATTATCTCAGTGTATGGGTCTGTGCTCTCTGCAGTCACATCTCCGGTTGTGGCCAAAAGTGATCTGCCAGAGGTTGTTGGGAGAAAGAGGACGAATAAATTCTGATCCCTCCAGGTGGCTGTCTGAAATGTAATAATTCATTGAAAGGAGAGTAGCAAATAAATCATGTTTAGAAAGAGCCAGAAGGATTAAATTAGTATCTGCATTTATGGGGATGTGAACTGCTGGACCAACTGTCGTGTCCAAACTAGTACTGAGCAGGCATCCATCTTAGCTGTGACTAATTAAAGTGCCCCTTAGATGTTAATTGCTGTCATTTCCCTTATGTGGTTGGCACCTGACAGTGTAAAGGCTTATCTTCCTTTCTGTTCCAGTTGAAAGACAAGTGGATTACCTCGTGCCACCTGAAGTAAGATAGCTTGTTTGACAGACAAGCATCACACAGTCAGCAACGGCCAGGAGGATGTTTGTCTTCTTGCCCTTCTGTCTGTGCAGTGTGAGAAGGATCAGTCTTGTATAGAGGGGCCAAGTCTCCCGCAGTGTCTCGAGCTGAGCTAAGGGGCACCTCTGATTGGCCCTGGGTGCTTTTGTGATTCAGGATAGAAGCTCTGATTTGGGGCAGGCCTGACAGAGGTAGAGATGGCTGGCACATTCCTGTGTTTCTTAGAAAAATGTGCTGCTACCTGGTATTGGTAGAGCATTTTAGGGTATGGTCTCTGGGGAAGTAGTCAGGTTTTTAGCCCTGATGAAGTGGTGAGTTGGGGCAACACAAGAGGTGGCTGAACTGCACAAAACTTCTCAGACTCAAGAAATTTGTGCCAAATTAGCATTCAGGTGCTCCTGCCTTTGTTTAACAGCACAGTATTCCAACTATCATTTCAATCAGTTTTTTGTTTTAACTTGTACTAATTTCATTTGTTTTGTAGCGCATTTAAAATCTTATTTTCAAAATGTGGTTTGTCTTTTTAATGCTTTCAGCTCTGCTTGTTTGTACGTTTTAATTTTTGTTTTCCTTTTTTGGCATTTGTTTTATTTTACATCACCCTCCGGGATCCCCCAATATTGACCCTGTGACCTGTGACCTTTCAACCTACATCCCTACAATGATTTCCTCCCTTCCTGTGACCTCTTTTGGGGCTTGGTGCTTCTCCACCTAGTAGTTTAAGACTAGCCAAAAATGCAAAGCAAGGCTTGAATAACTCTCCTCCAGTGAAAGAGCTGAAAGAATCCTCTGCAGTTGATGCCTTCCGATCCCGCAGCATCAGTGTGTCTGAACATGTGGTCCGCAGGTAGAGGCACTTTAAATGGGGAGAATCCAAGAGCAACTCAGCACTTGGAAATTTTACTGCAAGGGTGGGTGGAAGCAGGGTGGATTTGCATGTGGGATGCTTGCATGACTTTGTTACGCAATAAGAAACTGGCCTTAGCCACAGCCAAAGGTTTTGGAAACGCGTCATGGATATCCCATGGCTTCCCAACACTGGCTATTGGGTTGTCACGTCACACCCTGTTTTGTCTGTGGTTACTTTGGCCTATTCTCTGATGTTTTAGGAGCAAAAATTTCTATTTGCAAAGTAAAGATGGTGAAGGGGGAAAAACAAACAAACAAAAAACACCAAAAAAAGTAAAGGAAAAAGGTTGCATTCTGTGCAAGTGAGAGGCTTGGTTAAAACTCATTAAACTTCAGCCTTCTAAGCAGTGACTTGCCCCAGGAGAGGCTTTTTGGTCCCCTGCAAGCTTATATACAGGCCCTCCTCCTAAACTATGAGCAGTAATTCTGGCTCCAGTTTAGGATTTGTTCTTTGAGGCAAAAGGAGCTGATGGAAGTATTCTGATCTAAAGTATGATGCCATGAAAACCTTAATTTGTCTTTCGGTAGAGCGGTGAAATGTATGCTCAGCCCATATGAAGCTATTGCTTTCACAAGTGATTGATTGCAGACATTGATATGCTCACAGGAAAGCTGAAACAACTTATGTTAGTTTTTAAAACATATTTCTGGATCACTTCCCTTGAGTGTTAAACTGCTGTCTGTAACGTTTGTTTAAAACCTGAACCTGAAGATTTGTGCCTTAACCTGTAACGATTGCTGTCAGTGGAACTTTATTTTCTGTGTTTATTTTTGACTATAACTATATGGTGTCTGCGGGAAAAACACTGAAGTGACTGAATTGTGAATACAATTCTGTCACTTCATGCTCTGATATCCCCATTAATCTATCAGTTGGTTTTCTTGTATTTATATGTAAATGGTAGCAACTAAAAGTTCAGATAATTACCCTTAATGATGCCAAAGAAGTTGCTACAACATAAAAAATTTGGCTGTACCTCAGCTTAGTTTGTATTACGATGGCATAAGGAGTCGTCTTTATAAAATATTGCAATCCAGCCTGTTATTGCAGTTGTTTTAAATTGCATTGCTAACTTCGCTGATTTGAAGGCAGAGTTGCTCTCTATTCTTGTGCCAATTTCCTGTTCAGAGTGCAATTTTTTTTCTGTTTCTAGTTAAGTTAGGTTTTACATAGCTATTAAATTTGGAGGGGAAAAAAATCAGTGTGTGAAAGGCATGCAGCAGAGAAAAAAGCAAACCACAGGATTATAAAGTTAAGTCTAAAGTACCCCAATTTATGGCTCATGGGCAACATGTTACCTGGGAAACTGTGCAGGTTACGGGACGCTTGCCCTCACTGTAGATTAGCGAACTCAAAGCATGGTGCTGCCACTCACTATTTGCTTGGTGCACTTGCCCATGGGCCACCCAACATCAGAGAGCACTGGCCTGACGTAGTCCATTGACAGACATTTAAATGTTTCTCAGTCTCTCAAGATAAAATACACTTTCTGCAGTGACAATATACAAAGCACAACGTGATGCTTATCCAAAAATGCTGTGCTTATGTCCTGGGTTTAATGTCTGGCCACCTCTCTGATCTGGCACGTGCATGTATCGCAGGTTGTTCTGCATCACGCTGTCTTTTGGGTGACAGGATCAAGCATTTTGCAATGTGATCTGTCAGTTGGAAACATTCTTTTCTAGTCGGATACAAACATCCATCACTAGTTCAAGCCTGGGCTCTGCAGATGAAAATTCAATGGCTCAGGCTGATGACAACTTAAAAAATCTCCACCTGGAACTCACTGAAACCTGTCTGGATATGATGGCTCGATACGTCTTTTCAAACTTCACTGCGGTGCCTAAGAGGTAGGGGTCAGTCGGTGACCATGGGAGAGATGTTTTTGTTTGAGTTTCGTATTTCACTTTATTAGTGGAAAACTACCGTGACACTTTTGAGATTCTGGCAGGCCCAGGCTCTGAAGCCTTTCCTCGCAGATAAAATCTGGCTTGGCTAAATATGAGGTTAGATGAGAGAAGTCCATTGGAGCCAACCAGCCTTTGCCTCAGCCTTGAACTGTCCAGAAGGAGATGCCTTGAAGGCATGCTTCCTGGGAGCAGTGCTTTGCTCCGTGTCCTTGCTGGATAATCGCAGCCTTTGCTACAGAACTGAGTGCCATGCCAGCTGGCTTCAAATAGAGGGTATTTACTTTTCTTGCTAGCCCTTCCCAGAAGGAGACACGTAGCTCAGATGAGGCTCCTTCCCTTCTGCTCTGTGATGTGTGTCCAGGATTGAATTAGACTGCTCTGTAATGTGTGTCCAGTATTGATTGGTATTAAATTCAGCTCGTCCCTTCTCCTGATGGATAATGTATATGTTGATGACCAAGAGGGTATGTTAAAAATGCTGTATAAAGAAGGAAAGCAGGCAGTACCTGCTGCATAGTTACATGAAACAAGCCGCCTGTGTAAGCTCTGTGCTCTGCAGCCTGAGAGCTGCCTTCATCACAAATGTGTTTCTAGGTCTCCTGTGGGTGAGTTTCTCTTGGCTGGAGGAAGGACAAAGACGTGGCTGGTTGGTAACAAGCTGGTGACCATCACTACAAGCGTTGGAACAGGGACAAGGTCCCTGCTTGGCCTAGACTCTGGAGAGCTGCAAAGCAGCACAGAATCAAGGTAAATTTTGCTCCCGTTTCTAGAAATTTCCACCTAACAGTCACTTAAACCACTGTTACAGTGCATCCTTTCAGTTTTTCCACTTACTAGAAGAGGAATGTCTTATTTGTTTAGCATGACTGATTCCTCTCTCAATATCATCAATGTAATTTTTTTTTCCCCACAGCTCAGACCCTGTTTTGCAAGTGAGACAAACTAAAGAAGCTCCAGCCAAACTGGAATCTCAAGCTGGGCAGCAGGTTTGCAGAAGCTCTCGCAACAGAGTCCGATCCATGTCTGGTAAATTCCTATCCTGGAATATTTCTGCCATTTCTGGGTCCATGTTAGAGTCTTAAATCTCAAAGTGCCTGCCAAAGATACCTGTGTCTAAACTAATTTGAGAATCTGGACCTGTCTGGTATTTTAATAGTGGGCAGATAGCAGTGGTGGTGCTCCTCCTGCTTGACTGTCCCTGCAGGAAAGCTTTGGTGATTGATTAAGTGGTGAGCACCTGCAGTGAGGATCACCTATGTTTACCTAGCCTCATGGTTTGTAAGAAACGCATTCAAGGTAAAGTTCTCTTAGATTCCCAATATTGTGAGTGCAGCTGCTAGAGGAGCTTAAAAGACTCATTACTTCTGAGATATTTTTAGTGTTGACTAAAATAACACGTCTCTCCCTTCTGTTTTGTTTCCGTCTTGCTAGGTGGTCATGCCTTACGTGTTGGTGCCTTAGACAGCTCAGCCTCCCATTTCCCCAGTGGCTCGGCTTCCCAAGGGACACAGAGTCCTCCTGCTCCTGCATCTCGATCAGAGAAGACTAATCCTGCTCCACAGACACCTCTGCAGAAAGAAAAAGCAAACTTAGCTGCATATGTCCCACTGCTGACACAGGGGTGGGCAGAAATCCTAGTGCGCAGACCCACAGGTATCTACCTGAGTGTGGAGTGAGCTCTTTTGACTTGCTAAGAAAACAGAGCCTGGATGAAGAAGAAAAATCCATATTTAGTTGCAAAAGGATCTCTTTATTCCTTACTGCCTCTTAAAACTAATGCATCTGATACTTGATTCTTTGAAATCACTCTTTAGTGTTTTAAATCCATGAAAGACCCATGAAAAGATTGAAGCAAGCACTTAAATTTGTATATTGAGTACTGTTACAGAAATAGAGCCTGATAATATCAACCCCCCTTTGCATTTCCCATTTTTGTACTGCTCTATGGTCTTTCTAGAAAATCGGTGCTGTGTTTTAGCTTCCTATGCTAGATCCAAGGTGAGTGAGGTTTACCAGGGATGGGTTCTGAAGCACTTGGGGTGAAGTACAGAGCATTGGGAGCTACTTACTGAAAATAGGAAATGAATCAAGTGATTCTGCCAAATGTCAGGAGAATGGAGAATTTGGTCCGGTTTGATTTTTACTTGCAAAATCCAAACCAATTTGTGCTTGCCTCGATGTGAATTGTAAACTCTCTGGGGTTGGGAGTACTTAATACTCTTCCCACATTTTCTCTTACCAGGTAACACAAGCTGGCTAATGAGTCTGGAGAACCCACTCAGTCCGTTTTCTTCAGATATTAACAATATGCCCCTGCAAGAGCTCTCTAATGCACTCATGGCTGCAGAGCGTTTTAAAGAACACCGAGAAACGGCTCTGTATAAATCCCTCTCTGTTCCCTCATCCAGCTTGGCCACTGGGACAGCCAAACCATCGCTTCTCCAGCGTTCCAACACAGGTGAGAGATGTCAGGCCAGTAGCGTGCCCAGAATAGCTGTCACTAGCCTGTTTAAAGTCTGTTGAAGTTACTGCAGGTCTTCTAGAACAGCAGTTAGTAGTGTGAGGAATAACATAGCAATGAGAAGGGGAATCAGTTCTTGCCCATAGAAATTATAAGTAAAAAATTCCCTTCCTCCTTGCTTCTGATGTTCCATCAGAAAAGTACTTCTGTTTCTTAAAGAAAAGAGAGGAGCAATGGAGCTTCTTTGGAGGAGTTAATGTGTTTCATGCTAACTGTTTTCCAAACGAAAATGAACAAAGTCATGGGTCTTTTCCCTCTTCCACTTGTTTGGGGCTGATCTGGGCATCCCACGTGTGGATGGATCTTCCCATGCAGCGTTTCCATTTCCATTTGTCTTCAGTGTGGGAGTTTGTGTTGGGCATGAAGAGTGCTGGGTGCCTGGGAGAATGGCCTCTTGCAAACCTTGCCAGCCAGGGTCAGTTAGCTGCCACTGTCTTTCACAGCATGAGATAACAGGGTGCAAATCCTGTTGGCTGCAGATCTGTTCACCACGTTAAAAGACTGTTTAGCCTTCAGTCTGGTGCTGTTGAATCACTTGAGTTTCTTTTGCTGGCTTTATTTTCACATAGTGGCCAGGGCTTTTCACTGTATTACTTTGCTGCTAGTTCACTTCCAAAAAAGCTGTTAATGTTGGGAGGTCAGTGTTGACCAACAGCTGAAATTTTTAAAGCTTTGTGCAACCCCTGCTCAGAGCTCTTATGAACAACATTTAACACTGGGGCTCTTGGCACTGCTAGCGCTATCTAAACTGAGTGGCAGTAACAGCAGCCAAGGCTTTTCTGGGGAGGTGGCAGCAATGGTATGGATTGTTTGGAAATCTGGTAAAAAGGCTAGTTTTCAGGTTTGTTTTCAACAGGGCAGGATATGATTTTAGGATTTCAGAATGTGTAATCACAAAATTAGAATCAAAATCAAATTATCACCTTTTTTAAAAAAAATTAAATTAAATTCTTATCAGTGAACACTTTTATTGTCTCCTATGAATTTGGGGTATATAGGTGCTAACTGGTGAGTTGAAAGAAGCACCCGCCTGAATGCCACTCCTGTGGCAGTTTGAGAAAATAATTTTGGCCACGTTCTTGTTAGCGCAACTTCTAGAGCAGACTTGCCAGAGCTGGCTGGCGAATGAATCTTTTGACGAAGTTTTGCTGGCAGACCGTCATAGGCATGTTGTTCTTCCTCTTTAGAGGTTAAAACTCTCTGAATCTTTATCCATATTTTTACTCTTCAGACTCTTCTGTGGGTTTAAAAATGATCTTTTGCCAAAAGTGTGTAGCTCAGGAAAAGCACAGACTGGTTTCCTGAATGTGCTAGGATATCACTAAGGAATTTTCTGTTTCTAAACCACACAAAGATGTTTTCTTCAAAGAGAGCGGTT